GTGAAACAAATTAGTTGTGGTTTGTTCAGATGCAACTTTGCAAGCCAGATCTGTGCTGCCATGTTCTTAGTAGAAAGAAGAGGCTTTCTCCTGAAAGCCCTTCCAAACAAGCCACACTTCTTTTACTTTTACATTTAACATGCTAAATGAGACCTGTATAGTCTTTTTTTTATTATTTCCTGATTTCTAAAATCTTAATTTAGAGTTTAATCGGGGTGTTTCTTCTTTTTACCATAACTGATTATCTGCATCAGTGCCCAGTTTAGTGCTGTATCCAGTAAATCATCCAGTTCATCATAGGCTGCTGATAGAAAGCTAAAAGTTAAAATAAGGAAAATAAAATAACAAAATAAGGAAAAGTTTATGATATTTTAGTGTAATGAGCTGGCCCGTCATACTTTACTTTCCATTTTGTCTCCTTCACAGTGAAAGTATGTAACTGCACAGAGCTGGGCTACTGCTACGTTGCACCAGAAGGAGCGGCGCTCAGTTATGGAATGGGACCCACCATTGGGATCCTGGCTGGCATTCTGGGATTCTGCGGTAATTCTAACAAACCCCAAAATAAATCTGTTATCTGATAAAACCAAGTTTCACACAAACCGTTAGACTGTCCAACAGTGTCAGTGTGAAGTTTTGTGCTCCAGTGACTGACTTCTGTTTTATGTCTCCTCCTTTCGCAGTTATCGTGTTCGTTGTAGTGATCAAACGCATCAACAAAAAGAGCCAAAGAAAAGCCCAGGCCGAAGGGGACGAGAGGAATGCCATGATGTAGACACGACGCAGATGGTTTCCGAGTCTCTTATTTATATGTGCCAGTAACACAAATCAGAAATTAGCCTCCAAGAGATCAACAGTGTGTACAATGTTTGAGATAGGAGGAAAATTCTCCAACCAGAGCCTTAAACCAGTCTTCCTGCTCGGTCCTTATCTTAATTATAACTTAGATTCTTAAAACCAGACTAGACTACACACACAACTTGGGATTATTTAGATTTAAATTCTCACCTGCCTATTAAATAAGATAGGACAGGTACACTGACCCATAAAATATCTGTGGTAAAATACTCCAGGCCTGAAACTCAAATGAGTCCTCGCACATCTACTTTAGCTTATTTTATTATATTTACAACATGAACATTATTAACAAATGCTGTGCATCCCTTAATTAATCTGTTAGGTGGTCCCATGCTAATCACTCATTTGTTGAATAAATATATTGTGATTTCACTGCCAGACTCTGGCCGGTTCATTAGCTATTTCATCATCTCCCACCATTTAATTATATATATTTTTTGGGCCCAGACACTTTGTGTGTTACTCTCTTCTCTACCTTGACTGTAACAGCTAACCATTAAACGTTGTTTAACATCAAACTCAAACAGATCACTTGTGTCATGAACAACTTTGTTGTTTTTTTTGTTTTTTTTTGTAAAGTTCGTTTACTGCTCTGTTTCTCAATAAACGACAAAAACTGGGGACCACTTTGGTTTTCACGGCATCGTTTTTTCCCCCTACACATCAGGGCAGACGTGGTGCAGCAGGTGATGGGTGACGTAAGGTACAGTATGTGTGCTATACAGTATCTCTGTCCTGTGGAAGCCTGGGGTTGGGATTGCTCTGCTTGTACTGTTGCGTCCCCCATCCTCCTTCTTGCTCATCTGCCGCTGAGCAGTCAAGGCCACGATGCTGCCTCAGAGAGCGATGCTCTGACTCATCTCTTTGTCAGTGGGAGACGCAGATTGTTGACGGTGCTGAAAGGGGCATGGCATGATTTCTTTTTTAGCTTTTATGCAACACAAAGTGGTCCAAACAAGCACAATACTTACATGTGAGAGCTGAAGGTGGGGATCACATGTGCTGCCATGAATATTGTATCCCTCCGATCCATGTGCCATGTTTTTGTGTGTGTGAGTCATCGAACAGCCTGTTGCAGATACCAAAATCCAAACGGGGGAGTGGGCTGAGCTTCATCTTTCATGCTGATGAGGATGAACTTGGTGTGGACCCTTTTCAGTGTTTATGTCTGCACTCTCTCCTTGTCGGTATCCCAGCAACACTTTCCACAACATACACACACATGGCTCACACACAAACACACACACTCATACAGAGCTGGGGGGAGAAGTTCAAATATTGAGGTACAGAGGAGACGAGGTGGAGGGGCAGACAGTTGGACCTAACGGTGTGAATGATGATGACCACCTCTGGATATCAAGCCTCACCATCAGCACACACCCACCCACACACACATGTTAAAGTCCCTACTCTACAAGAGGAGCCTTTTCCCCTAATATAGAAGAATTATATTGATGTGTTCCCGCTTAAATCAGCTTATTTGTACTGCACATGTATTCCATAAGCCTAAATCAAACATAAAATCAACTTTAGTATGATGCCAGCTGTCTAATAAATCAACTATATGTGTATGAAAACATTCAAAGTACTGCAAACTATGAATATCTGCTGCCAAAGAAGTTAATAAAAATGTCTGTGTGGGTATTCCATACATACATATGTAAGTGCAAGTTTCTCCTTTATTTCTTTACAAGCCCCGAACAGAAGTTCACCTGCTTCCTGCTTCAAAATTTCATTCATTGCTAATCTAGCTCCATGACAACAAATGCATAAAGATTATAAGTGAAGCTGTTGCCACTCTTAGCGCTGGATAGGATTGATTTAATTGCTTGCCTCTGTTGTAATACTGCACTCTGGTGAGTCAGTTTTATTATGAAGGGTGATTTGCATTATAATTTCCGTAAAACAAAGGCACTCACTCATCATTTACACACTAATCTGGAAATAACGTCCTTGGAGCAGCGGAAGCAACGTGTGTGACTGACCAAAATACGCAGAGGTGTTTATTTCCAGTAAAGTGGCTAATGTCACCTATGCACACGAGTTCTTTCAGACACCCACTGAGTGTGAGCGCAACAATGAAATAAAATGCTTATACAGTAAGGCATTCATCTCTCACTGACTCTTTGTGACATAGCAATTCAGTTGACACACCAGTTCAGAACAAGTCTCCTCAAAGTCCTTTATATTGAAAGGTAAAGACAGAAAGCCCAACAATCAGATGACTCCATGTGAGTAAGCACTTGGTGACAGTGGGAAGGAAAAACTCCCTTTTAACGGGAAGAAACCTCTCTGGCAGAACCTGGGGGTGAGAGCAACAGCTGCTCCTGGACAATTGTACATCAGGGTTTGATGACACAAGCCATGCTGCAATGTTCACGACCCAGTCACACAGCCTGTTGTACCCTGGAGGCGGGGTCATTATCATTCCAAGTCTTAAAAACGCTGAAATCTTTTTATGGTGCATCCAGTGTAGTAACAACTTTACAAGGCTGCTGTGTTAGCTTGTGCTTGTGTGTTCAAGGATCTTATAAAGGATTAACTAAAAGCAAGTAAAATGCAGATTTATACAAATAAAAATTTTATAAAATCATTACTACAATCCTCTTTTAATATGTTGATCTTCTCCATGTGAAAGGAGTGGGGGGAAAAAAAATCAGAAGAAAGATTAAAATTTTGATTTATTTTAATCACAAGCTACAAAAAAAAAATCAGATATTTTTGACTTTTGCATCTGAATGCTGCATTGCTCACCGGTCACTTCATTAGGTCCAGCTTGGTAATACCAGATTGAAGCTTCTTTTGCTTCGGAGCAGCTTTAATTATTCATGGCACTCAGAAATACTGAACTTAAATACTCAAACCAGCCCATCAGGAACCAACAACTTTGCTGGGTTCATAAAGAGTTAAAATCATTCAGTTGCTCCGTTTCAACTACAGCAGAGCACCCTGATGTGTCTACATGCCTAAATGCAGTGAAGTTGCTGATTCATCAATATTTGCATTAACGAGCAGTTGAACTGGTGTCTCTACTGAAGCTGGCCCAAGTGCATCTGTTAACTTATAGGACACAGCTGTAGCACAAATCTCCGACGACAGCGTAGCGACAGGTTTGTGTTGTAGTTAAACCTCCTCTGGCCTCTTTTTGACACTTGGCCTGTTTGGCGCAACAGCACCACCTAGTGGCAGCAAACACAGTAAAGCTCCAACTGTCCCATGAGCACTGCGCCACATGTAACATTTAACCTACCTGTGTGTATAGTGACGACACACCTGAGGCACACTGACCTTCCAGGTGTTTGAAGGTCAGAACCTTCCTGGCTGAAGCACTATTCTGGTGGCCTTCTTTGTATAACCCAAAACAAACCGAACAGTGCCAGGATTTCTGTATTTGGCGTTTTATTAAAGCATTCCATATACAAAACTCAACCCACATAAGTTAAAATTTATACATACAACAGAAATGATGTGTCACATACTCCAAAAGCTGAATAAATAATATTTACTATTCAAACAGCTTCCTTCAAATGTACATTCTGCTCATTCAACAACCACAACCCTGATTTCTAAGTAACAGGAGGGGTTGGTTTGCTGCTTTGATTCTTATTAATCACATGAATGATAAACTTCCAATCTGTAACAACCTGTTACACTATAAATGACCTGTCATAAGTATATGGTTTTTAACCCTTCAATATTTGGAAAAGAAACTCAAGGTAAAAAAAAAACAAAAAAAAACAAACAAGGTCAGTGTGTGCATTAAGGTGCACATTAACAGGAAGTCTGACTTTGATCCTCTATTATCAGGGATACAAAGCAGCATTACATATGGAGAATAACTCCATTTGTTAGTAGACAGGTAAATATCAGTGTACTCATACAGCTCAGATCTTCAGTGAGGTGCTTTTGTCATTGCTCTGTGTGAAAGTACACTGGATTCAAAGTGAAAACGATCACTTATGTCACCAGTTCCTGACCTTTCCAGTTTGTGACCTTAAGGATGAAAAAACATCTCTTCTTCCCAAGTTAAGCCTTTAATGCGAGCAGCGAGCACTCAAACTACAACTCCTTCCTCCCTAGTTTCTCTGTGTAACAGAATGACTTCTCTCTAACTTAAACTGTGAGTCCTCAACTTTATTTTGAGCCGTATGAGGTTTAAGAGTTGGCTTGTAGCCTACATTCTAGAGTATTTACCTCCACATTGGACGTGGACATCAATGTGAACACCTTAACACTCTGAAATCAGTGGAGTAGATCTCACTGTAAACACAGAACAAAGCATCTGTGTTTAGATTCACCAAGAACATCTCATACAATGTCACAGGGTAAAAACAAGTCGATGAATCAGCCCAGGTCGTAACAACAGTCCCTCAGAAACAAACTACAAAGAGAAATGACTGCATCCTGCTTGTAGCCGAAAACGAGAGCACGCTGCAGTCGGGGCACAGCCTATTTAAAATCCATAATAGAACAACAGGTGGAGTCAGCCCTGTTGCTAAAAGGCTCTTTGCTTTTTAAGCCACTCCCACGTCCTTTACCCTTTTTGGAAGTTTCTAGATTTTCAGTTTGTAACAGTGTCTTGTTACAAAGAGAAGTGTACATGAAAATGGCAACGAGCGGCAGCATAAATAACACGTTATAAGAAACGTCATCCAGTTTTTAGCTGACATCTTCATAAGAAACCGCAGCACTGCATACAAACAAATACACTCTTTATATAGTGTTAAAACAATGATATTTACCGGTGGACAGATACTGAATATGGCCGGTTTGTCCTCGGTGTGCTTCGATACAGATCTGCTGTGTGTGAGATCAGTGTTACATGGCTAATGAGCAGCTCATGACTGGCCTTCCTGTCTCTGTGCTCCAATCACATGAGGGTTAAACTGCGTGATGATGATGGTGATGTCATCGCGGTACATGCGAGCCAGCTCCTCGGGCAGTGACAGCATCTTTGACAGCCTCTCGTGGTCCACTGTGCCAAACTCGTTGTTTCCCACCGCGTGGCGCATCAGGTGGGTGGCGGCGTTCTGATCTTCGAATGCTGAGGACGCACGAGCCTTTCGCTCCTCGAGCAGCCCCTGCATTTGTCCCAAGGTCACCCTGTATCCTCCGACTTTGAGCGGCTGATGCTGGTGGACCCCAGTCAAATACTCCCCGACGATACGAATCACTTCCTGCCTGTGGAGGGTCTCCCAAAGGCCATCAGAGCCAATCACCTGCCGAGAGAAGAGTCATATAATTGTATATATAATCTACCGAAAGAAATCATTAAAAGACCAAAATCACAATGAGATTCATGCCCATGATGAATGTATTTACACTTAAAACCACAACTGTAAGTCAGAAAACATTCAAGTGTAGTAACTGAAGCCGGCATGGGAGCTGTAGCTAACATTATTCATTCGTTTGGGAAAATACTGGCACTGAGAATAAGTCATCTAAACCCAATTATTTCTTCATAAATACAGCCTTTGTTTGAAAAGGTCACACAGCATGCATTAGCTAGATAATTCCTCAAAAGAAGAGCTTTCTTTTTAATTAAATAAATAGCACAGCCCACTCTCCTTTTACATGCAATGAAAAAAGGTACATCTGGAGGATGGATGCCTACTTTGAGGAGAACAATGGTACAAACATCAGGATTCAGAGCACATTATTCAGTTCTCAGAGTTAATTAGATGTGACTCATAAAATCTGACATTATTCAGCCTATTGACATAAAATATAGACCCCAGATCCATAATGTGTTTAATTTTATAAATAGAATAAATGTCCAGGTGTCAACTCTTTGGATCAGTTCCTACGTCTCGGATTTATGCGGGGCTTTAAATCAACTAATGCTGGGCCCTTTAACCAGTGAAGAATGAGAGCTTTATTAAGAATGGGGATGATGCTGCATTGATCATCGTGACTGTAGACATACAAGTTTTCAAAATGTTGAAGGGCAGTATATTTTTGGGACAGATGTGGAAAAACGATAAGACTGCCAGGAAATAAATGTCCTGATGTAAAACACATTGTATGTATTTTGTATGACACAGCAGCGGGGGTTAGGTTAACTGACAGGCCGGGAACCTGTCCAGGGTTTACCCTGCATCTGTGACAGCTGGCATAGGCTCCAGCTCCTGAACTGGATAAGCAAAAGAGAATGGATGGATGGGTGACAGCACCGCCGCTGCATCTTACCAGGAAGCGATCCTGTGGCCTCAGCTTGTGATACGTGATCTCGGGCTCAGCGGTCAAGTAAGGAGGGGTGTGATAGTTCGGGGGGATAAACTTGGTTTGCTCATTTTCGTGAAGCTGATCAGGTCCGGACTCCAAGACGCGCTTCTGCAGCTCAATGCTCCACTTGAACTTCACATCCCCGAACGCACGGAAAGGCATGAGCAAGCCGAGCAGCCTCTCCTGACAAAGAAGAAAAATATGGTGGCGAGGTTTTAATAAAGGTTGTAAAAACAATCACAGTGAGATTAACGAGTGCAGTACCTGACGGATGACCGTTTTTCTCTCTGATGGAGGGTGTTCGCTCCGTATCCGAGCCACCTCGCTCTCATTCTGGGCGTTGTGGTCATTGGAGAATGTGTGAGCGCTGAATGAACCATCCTCCTCTTGGACACCCAAAACTGCCCGAGCATCTCCTGCATTGGCTATAAAGCTTCAGAAACAAAGAGACAACGTTACAAAAAAATCTATTTCATCCCTTTAATGTTGCTATAATGCATTAAACCATGTATTTATTGTTCATACAGGTCTGGTCCATCAATGTGAGCCACACAGGCTGTTGCTCCCGAAAAGGCCACTCTCAGAACCCAGTAGTGCAAAAAAGCATTTGGGTCTCCAACCTGCAGAGCAAAATAAAGCAGGAAAGGACTGTGCTTACTAGACAGGCAGGCACTGACACACAAGCTCCCCTTTGAGCCATAAAAGTTTAAATTTGGATGCTCACATTTTTTGGCATTGCTGCTGTGGAGAAATGTTATTCAATATGTGGCTTAATGTGTCAAACTGAACTCAAGTCTTGGCACAATTTAAATCAGGCTAACATGTCCGTGATATTCTGAATTTGTGCTCAGCCAATATCAGCTTACACTGCATGCGGGCACACTATGAGGAGGACTGCCCTGGGCTACAACTGCAATAATAACCACTGCAAGTTTCATAATGAAGCTGCAATAATGTCAGACATGGAAAGTAAATCAGGGAGATGATAAAAGGCCAGAAATTACTCTAATGATAAAATGAGTCGATGACACTCAGGCTCTCACTTGGGAGTTAATTCAGAGCTCCTAAGCTTGCCTCCTTAAAGTAAAACTTGGAACATAAACTAGTCACACCAAACTGTATTAGCATGTTCACAAGGCACACCTTTGATTTTTTACAGTTCATACCTGAGCTTCCAGTGAAATATCATTGTCGAGCCTCTTGAAGGCATTCAGCAACGCCTCGCGGGTGTCTGGAACGTCACCTGGGCTGAAAACAGGGAGAACACTTGAGTGAATCGGATAAAGCAGGAGGCACAGGTTGAGAACAGAGACCAAAAACAGCACTACTGGAAAACAACACACCGGCCTATGTTGGTGTGGGTGTGCTGCTACCAGGTAAAGATGAAAATAAAATGAGAAAGAAGGAAATGTTTGCCAAGGCCAAACACTGGGGAGAAAAATTACACTTCTGTGAATCAGAACAGATGACGGTCTACTAATGCTTTTGACATACTGGAAAGGCCAAAAGACAAAGAATGCATTTGTAAACATCATACATTAACTGGACATTTTATTAGGTACACCTTGAAGACAACAGAAGATGCAGGCCACTACGACTCCTCGGGTAGGCTGCAAAATGATGTTCATGCTAAGGGGGCCAAACTGTGCCAAGAACATTTCCCCTATACTATTACACCACCAGCAGCCTGAACCGCTGATACACAGCAGGATGGATCTGTGCTTTCATGTTGTTTACACCAAATTCAGACCCTGTCATCCAAAATGTCACAGCAGAATTTGAGACTCATCAGACAAGGAAAGCTTCTTTTGTCCAGTTTTGGTGAACCCTTGCAAACTGCATCCTCAGTTTTCTGTTACTAGCTGACACCACTGGGCGGTCGTCTTGACCATGTCTACAAGCCTAAATGCACTTAGCTGCTGCTGTGTGATGATCTGATTAGACGTACCCAGTGAAAACCCATGCAATGAACACACATTTGTGAGGCAAACGCTGAGCTGAGTCCAGCAGAGGCGGCTTGAGAAAGTTTGAGAAACGAATTGCTCTCATTTTAATACAAAACGCCCGGGGTGGGGGGGTTCTTTGTTTGTTTCTTTGTTTTTTAACACAGTGGCCTTTAGACGTAGAAGTGTGTACTCTGCTGATTTTCACATTCCTCACCTGGTTAGATCGATTAATTCCTGCCAGTAGGTTCGAAGGCTGTTGAAGTAGAGCCTCTGAGCCTCCCTACTGAAGTAGTCGTTGGGGTGTTTGTGCCACTGCAAGATGGGACTGAGAGCCCTGCCGGCCTCCACCGCTGCCTCAAGCTCACACAGAGTGTTGTGGGGCAGCAGTGACACTGCTATGTAGTAAAACAACCTCTCACTCAGCGCCTGCAGAGAAGAGTTTGTTGCACAGGAAACAGTACAATTGGATAAAGACACACAGTGGCAAACATAACACAGAAAGGTGCATCGTGCCCCAACAGCTGTGCAGCCTTTCAAATATTTGCACAAAATGAAATATTTACACATTGTTAGTTTGCACCAAAAAAAATTCAATCACAATCGTTTGGATTTGCAAGCTACGCCTTTAGAGCAAAGAAAGCTAATCAGTTAAAATGCTATGCAGGATAACTGTGTCAGAGCTAGTGACAATAAATGTCACTGAGGAAAAATAGACCACAAATTCTCGACAATTATGAGGTTTTTTTACTCAATCTGACATGTCTGAGCGTTTTCTTTCAATATTAAATTCAATACGAGCTAAATAATAAACTTTCTGGATAAAGTTTGATGAAGAAAATGAGGGTCTGCCAAGAAAAACAAGAAAGAAAAAGTAGTAAGGTTTGAGTTTGAGTCCAAGCTACGCTGCTGGAAAAAAGTAAGATAACCAGTTAAAATGACACGCAGGCTAAGTGTCTCAGTTTACCTGTGCACAGGCGCAGCCAGCGTGGCCGTCGAACACGCCGAGCAGCATCCCTCGCGTCTGCAGGCACGTGGCTGCGCTGCGGCGATCTTCGATGGGAGCGTTGGCTGGCAGCTGATTACTTTCGAAACCCATCACTGAAGACACATTTTTCCCATCAAACTCTGGCACCTGGGATTACAGCATGAATAGTAAACTACAGCAATGCTACTATGGATGGCAAAATGCATTTTATCTACAACCCAACAAACCTTAAAGCTGTACTCGTTGGCTTTGAGAATGGAGTTGACCTGCGGAGGGGTGAGGATGTAGCTGTGGAGAACTGAGGATGTCTGGTAACTTCTTGATGGCTGGCGTCGTTGCCACATGTGAGCAGACTTTCTTGAGGCAGGTAGGTGAGCTACAGGCCCAAACTGGGACTGGTGTTGTTGGCATGGTAACAGACTGGAGGCCAAGACCTTGGAGCGAGGCAAAGCCCTGAGCAGCTGAGATGTCACAGGCATGGCTGACGGTACCCTGCAGGCAGGCAGGCGCGCACGCATACACACACTCTGCAGTGCTAATGTAACCACACCTATTGAAGAGGTACAGCGGTCAGAGAGCAGCAGATGGAGGTCCTTTTCTTTAAGCTGCATTCATCAGCAGAGGGGCAGAGTGTCCCTGGCATAGACCATTAAGCAAACAATGTGCAAACAAACTGGGATGATGTGACGAGATTTTGCAGCTGGTCGTAAGCTTTATGACAGAATAACGTAAAAACAGTTTTTCCATAGTAACTGCCGACATGATACTTGAAAGTTAATGTTCAGACAAATCCTTTAAACCTGACTCCTGCAGTGACCATTCACATATTTTGCCTGTGGGCAATTCAGATTAAATCAGTTCGCTGGTTAAATGTTGGGCTGTTGATTGACTGCTTGCTGTACTGGAAACTTTATGGAGCCCAACATTACTGTGAAACAGAATAGGTCAAAGTAAGCTATCCATGTAAAGATGATGCAGTAAAAAAAATACATGAATTTCAATACTTCTGTGCTCAGGAATACTTGTGTTGAGGAGGGGATCTTTAAATAGTTGTGATCTCTGTATCGACATTTCTTTAGCGCTTAAACACACAGCATGCTGACCAACTACATACTGGATGAACAAGTCCTTCATTGTTTGGAATAGGGCTGCCACGATTAGTCGACTAGTCACAATTACGTCGACAATCAAAATAGTCTACGACTGAATTTAAGAGTGTAATAACGGACTGAAACAGAAGATGGCAGCACTGCCCAGAATTCATAGCGCAGCCCAGCTGAGTTTCCAACAATGGCGGCAGCTGGTTAGTTTTGCATATTACTCTTATTATTCTTTCTGGGTCACAAAATAAACTTTTAACATATTTTTAGGCGAGAATGTAGCTGTGTCCTCAAATATCTGCTCAGTTTATCAAGACACCAACATATTTTCAAAAGCGCTCCGACGCTTTCCGAGTTGTCTGTTACCCACTAGCTTGATAGCTAGCCGGGGGCAAGGCTCACTAGAACCCGTGAGAACACCGGACTCCCGGCAAATCGGTTTCAAACCCACCATGGTCTTTCGCTACTCAGGTTAAACATGTAATATAAGTCACTTAGATAACTTAAAATGTTATTGTTTGGCTTTTTTTTTAGTATTTTATTTGTTCCTGAGTAAATCGGTTTGGCTGAGATTAAAGTTATAGTTTTTACACAGCTGAATAAACGTCAAGAAGACAACTGATTATCAGAAGTCAGAAATCAGAAATCAGAAATGGTTTTATTGCCAAATGTTGAGCAGGTTTACAACATTAGGAAATTGCTGCGGTGTGAGATGCTCGAGAATATACTCCGGCGTCCCATTATATTTTAGATAGCAAGGAGTTTATTAAATTTCACCGAAACAATCTGCAAATTTCATTAAAATTTAATAAACTACCATCTTGTCTTTATTTTTAGTTAGCACAGACCTTAAACACTTAAAGCTGTAAGATAATGATAGTTATATAAGAGCAGATGCATGCTGGTGCAATAAGCTGTACGTCTAATGGATGCATGATCTGATTAGTCGACTAATCGCAAAAATAATCTGTGACTAGTCGACTATCAAAATAATCATTTGTGGCAGCCCTAGTTTGAAACAATAGAGAAAGAGAGACAAACAGAAGGTCCTTGCTGCATAATGTGTTACAGTAGTGCAGGACCACAAAGCCTCAATTTGAAGTAAAAACATTTGAGGCTGGTCACTTTATTAGGTACAACTATTCAATCAGACGATCACATGGCAGCAACTCACAAGCATCAGAATGGGGAAAAACGGTGATTTTAGTGACTTTATATGTGGCATGGTTGATGGTGCCAAACGGATGGTTTTGAGTATTTCAGAAACTACAGATCTACTGGGATTCTACCAAACAGACATATCTAGGGCTTACAGCCAAAGGTCTGAAAAAAGTAGGTGAAAAAGTAAGTGGGTGAAAAGGCATCAATGCCAGAGGTCAGTAGAGATTCACCAGACTGCTTTAAGCTGATCGGAAGGCAACAGTAACTCAAATAATAACTAAGGCATGCAGAAGAGCATCTCTGCATGCACGAAATATATCAAACCTTGAAGCAGATGGGCTACAGCAACAGAAGACCACACCAAGTGTCCCTTCTGTCAGCTAGTAACAGGAAACTGAAAAATTCACACAGACTCATAGTGCCTTGTATTAATCCTTGTGGTGTGGGGGATGTTTGGACCCTTCAGTACCACATGAACATTGATAAAACGCCACAACCTACTTGAGTATTGTTGCTGATCATATGCATCCCTTTATGACCACAGCGTACCATCTTCTGATGGCTGCCTCCAGCAGGATAACACACCACGTTCACTGCACTCAAATAGCCTTCACAGTCAACAGATCTCAATCAAATTGCGCAATTTTTGATGTGGTGAAACCAGAGATTCAGATCATAGATGTGCAGCTGACCAATCTGCAGTAATAGTCTAATGCCACTGTGTCAATATGGACCAAAATCTCTGACAAATGTTTCAGGCACCTTGTTGAATCTGTGCCACAAAGAGTTAAGACAGTTCTGAGGGCAAAAAGGAGGTCAAAACCAGCACTAGCAATGTGTACCTAATAAAGTAGCTCCGGTGAGCGTGTACTCTCAACAAAATTGCTCTTATTTATAAATTAAATTTGCATGAACACTGTGTTGAATATTTAGAGAAGAAATGTCAACCCTCAAAGATATTGTTACAGTGATTATGTCCCATAATCTCAGATAGGGGCAGTGTAGAGCCTCCTTCAGGAATAATAGAAAGTGTTTTAGATTCGTTTATATAGTTTGACGAGGTTTAACCATTTCTGTCCTGAAGTATTGAGAAAAACCTGGATTAGAGATAGCGCCACTGGAGACGACATCTGCCGTGAGTTGTACTCTGCACTCTTCTCTATAGGTCAGCAACTCTGCACACTGACTGTTAAAAATAGCCCTGGCAGTAACTCGCCCCTGACATTTAGTTCTTGAATCTAAATGACTGGTCAGGATGACCTAGTAAACCGGATCCTCACTGCAACTGTTCATAAAATCTGCCCTCATTTAATAATTTAAGACGAGTCACGAGAACAGGGTGAAAAGAGAAACCAACAGATATGAAACTTCCTCAGCTGATTCTGAAAACAGTCAGATACCTTTATGTATTTAAAATGGCAAGAAGCTACATATCCAGAAATGCAAATAAGGCAGTGTGCATACACTTCCAGCAGTCAAACCTTAATAGAATAAACAAGCAAATGTGTACTTTGAGCGTTTTCTTTCCACTAGTCTAAAAAAGAAAAGAAAGGGGAAAAAAGACCTGTATTACGGAAGTAAAATAGCGTCAGAACTGTAAAAATAAAATTACCAGCTCCTAAAAAGACGTTTCCGCTCTATGTTTCGCCTGTTATATCTACAGATCATCAAAATGTGGAAAAACTCTTAAAGTGTGCGGACAGTGATGGAGCAACAAAGGTGATGGATGCTCGGGTAAAAACGTACTCCTTACAGTGACGGCGTCTTGCAGGCTGACCCCATATGGAGAAAGCCCAAACTATGTGTGAGGCACACAGACCACTGAGGGCCCGTCCCAGCTTGGATCTCTGCAACTAAGTTGCCATGTTTGTTGTCATCACTAGCCTTTCCTTGCTAGTTGCAAAGCAGGTCTGTAAACCAACCACCCAGTATTGGAGGAGTCCGACTAAAAACATGGAAGCGTAGTCTCAGAGCCACAACATGACAATAAAATAGGAACAGGAAAGCTGTCAAACAAGGTTAGTTAAATGGGTACAGTAGCCAAATTCATGCTAACGGCTGCTAGTGGTGTCCAGGTTACACCCACCAAACTGGATACTGTTTGCTTATATAAGACGCGACTACACCCGGGAAAAATCCTCCGGACTTCAACGCATCTTAACCTGCGAGAGTGAAAAGTTCAAACGAGGTGCAAAGTTATGGCTTACCTCAACCAGCGGATGTAAAGAAGTTATTTGAGCTCATGGCTTAACGCCGACCCCTCTGTGTATCATTCGGGAGCGCCACCCGGTGGAGTGAACTCTGATTGGCTAAGGGCTAGCAGACGTGATGACGTAGAAGCGTAACCACATGCACAAAGTCAGGATGTGCTTTTTAAAGCCCCACTTCTAGATAGGATCAGAACTGCTGTGACCCAAGAAAAGCGATCCGCTTTTTAGTTTTTAGTATATGTAAATTTTATAATTTAATAAACAATTTTATAATCTGTACATTTCTAATTTTTTATTTTGTTTCTGAATTTACAATTTGTCATTTGAAGAATAAAAGAGTCTTAAAATAAACCAGAAAAAAAAAAGATTTGTTAAGTACATCTGTTCCTCTTATCCTTCTAAATATCCACTCAGGCAATCAAGTGGCAGCAACTCAATGCATTTAGACATGTAGACATGATCAAAACGAACTGCTGAAGTTCAAATGGAGCATCAGAGTGGGGATGAACAGTGATTTAAGTGACTTTGAAAGTAGAATGGTTGGTGCCACACTTCTCCGGGTTTCACAGCGAGTGGTCCGAAAAACAGAAAACATCCAGTTCACTAGGTGAAAATGCCTTGTTGATGTCACAGGAGACTGGGCAGTCTGGTTTGAGCTGATAGGACGACAACAGTAACTCAAAAACCACACGTTATGCAGGTATGCAGATGATAATCTATGGTATGTTGAAACTTGAAGCAGATGGGCTACCTTGGTTGGGCTATGGATGGATTTAAATTTGATGTCAGCAAGACGTTTTAAAAAAAATAGGATTCGGTCTATTTAGCACCGCACTGCAATGCTTCTTCTTTTAAGAACCCTTTGTGTATTAATGAGCCCAGTTTCTGTACTATTGAAAGAAAATTATTAATATTTTTTCTTGAGTTCAGCAGCTTGGAGGTGTTCTAATGTCTTCACAAGTCTGGAATCCAGGCAGGCCAGGTTAGTCAGTTAATCTATGGAACCATCATACTGTAAATCATGCAGTGCAGTTAAGCATTACCTTGCTGAAATATTTCCCAAATTTTTTTTCAATGCACCAAACCTCTTTGTAGGAGTTACACTGCTCATCATTGATGGAGTCTTCACAGATGTAACACCATGTGTACTAATGCAATACCATACCATGGTAGCATGAACAGTGCACTGGTAGTGTGCCGCATTTGGAATATGCAACAGCAAAAAGCAATGAGAACATTCCCCACTATGCCTGAGGTAACAGAGCCAGAGGTATTTCAGTAAAGCATCTGCATTAAAAGGCACACAGTCAAGAAAGAAGACCAAGACAGAGAGAAATAAAAATAAAAGATTATAACTTTTTCATGCTGGCCAGTGTTTTTCTAGCTTCAGTCAGGAACCTTCCTCTACACAATTAAAATTCTGTTTGGATTTACATCTATATAAACAAAAGAAAACAACCCTCCTCCCAAACACATATTTCTTATGGAATAAAATAAGGAGACTGATTTTTTTAAATCTATGAGCATGTTTGATTCATCTAAAATCCAGTGGTGACATGTAATAGCGCTGCTTACTGTCAACAAGAATCCACCAACATACCCAGAGATGTTAAATATATTGTGTTATAAATAATATTGGGTTCATAAGAATATGAGCATGTACATCATCCTTTGTTTATATAGCTACCGGATATGCTACTATTCTTTACCTAAAAAATATAATAAAATTTAATAAAAAACAGGATGATTATCATGTCATAAAAAACATTTAATCATCAAAAATATGTCAAAAAATTTGAATATTTACATCAAAATCAGCAGTAAAAAACACTTATTACAGAACCACTTATTAAAATAAGTGCAAAAAGGACAGAATCTGTAAATAGTAAACATCTGTGAAAGAAATGCAGCTAATTAACAAAGATGATATCAACTATCTAGCAACGAATTTTAAATTAGGAACCTCTCATCCACCAGAGTCTTGTTGGCGAGGTTCTTCCTTCCCAAACTGTTACGCAAAAAGCGAAATATCTGTAAAGAACGAGAAGGTTGATTACTGCGAGTACTTTTTAGGCGGTGCTGAGAACATGCAGTACGGACAACAAATACTGACCACTTGCTGCACGTATGTAAGCACAGCTGCAAGCACAAAGCTCTGGGATCCAAGGTCGACGACACAGAAGAACAAGGTGTCAAAGATCAGCAGTGTGGCCTCGTTTCCATAATACAGCACGTTACTAAAAGTGTGCGCCTCATCTGCCACGAGAAGTGCAAACAGACATCATGTACACACACGTAGGTGGAGACAAACAAACTGAAATGTACTCTGGCCCAGACCATCACCATTGTAAAAGATGCTCTTCTCAGTGGGTTCAAGAAACTCCATCCCTATGACACTCTCAAACATCAGCTTGTCCTTCACTATGTAGTCCATGTCAGAGTGGGCCTTTTCAAATGATACGACATAAGACAGAAATAAGCAAACTGTTCTACTAGAATCAGGTCAGATCAAACTCTGCTGCTTTTAGTTTGCTGAGTGAGTTTATTCTTGAGTGTTTGTACTAACATGGTCAATAACACATCCCAGGAAGTGTTTCATGGCCTGGTAAGCTTTGAAGTGCGGCTCGAGCGAGCTGAGCGTGGATGCGTCTGTTAGTCGTGATGGCTGGTTCCTCTGGAGGACAAGACACAATCAACTCCTTTAAAGGCACTTATGAATAAAAGTTACCAAACTAATAAAAGCTCTGAGAAAAACAAACAAACAAGAAAACCACTGCTTTGACTTCATATCCAAAATGTTTATGAGTTGTACTGCAAGGACAAGACCTGAAGCTAAAATTAGTCCGTGTGATAGTTTAGTGCAACACCACAGACAGTATAAAACATGGGTGTAGCTACCATGATGTCGCCCACTTGTTTGGGGAGTCCTGTTGCCATCTTGGTGTTTTGAAACCAGATGTGGCGAGTGGGGATGGGTCTGACTATTAAATCTGATGCTCATTGGTTAACGACTTGTCATTTCCAGCTCACTGTCAATGCTAAAACACCCTTTCTGAAACTTAGAATGACTCAAAGATACAAAACAGACTGAATGTTTTAGTCAGTATGACCTGAAGTCAGTGACTGAGACCTTAACAGTGAACAGGAAAGTGTTTAGGAAGATTTGAACAGAGGGTCTATTTTACATAAACTTTTTACAACCACATCTGTCACCCCCTGGTGGCCTTACAAAAGAATGCAAGCTTAAAGTACTTCTGTGTTGGCTTCACTTTTAAACCCCGGGAACCACATTTTATATGATTTGTGTAATACCAATTTCTACTACAAGACTGTGCAGTGATATTTGTGATGCAAAGAAAAGAAGCCAAATAAATGTAAACATCAGAGCAGCTTTTCCATGGCTGTCTGTCATTACTGGTAGAGTACATATGTTTAACAAGTTCCGTTCAGACAACTGCTTTAAACACTTTTACTCTCTTATTAGAGGGATAGGCAGCTGTACTCATCAGTCTGCAGACTAACAGTACCATTAAACAGAACATTCATAGCTGAGGTGCAGACATGACTGTGGTCAGGACTTACCCTGCTGATTGATTCCTGTATTTTTTTATACTGCATCCCCAGACGGCTGGTAAGAGACACCTGAAAGGTCTGGACTTCTGTGTTGGGGAGTAAACCCCTCTGAGCACACAGTGACTCCTTAAAAAAATAAATTTAAAAAAAGCATGTAAGTCAGCTGAAAACACTAGTGAGAGGTAGACTAAAAGCCTGTTGGGGTACATACGGCTTCTCTTCTCAAATTGTTGTTCATTTCCTCCATGTTTGTATCTGCATGTCCATGAACCGAACGGCCATGAATGTAGTATCCAAAGCAGCGATATGATAAGATAAACACAGAAATCTGCACGGAAACAAACACAAAAAAAATGTTTATCCAGGCCAGAAAGACAGAAAAATGGCTTCATGCAATGCCCGCTACTTACATTACTGACTGAGCAGAGATCTACAAACTGACGGATTTTGTCCTCCACAAAGTGTGCATAAAACACAGTGAAGAAAATCACCTGTAGGGTTTAAAGGACATCTTTTAAGGGGTTCAAAGGGGTACATTTCACTGATACCTTAGGAAAGAATGAGGTGAGAATGGATGTGAAGGAAAGAAAAGGTAAGTTATCAAATGGAGGCTGTGCACCTGCAGAAGCCCAATGCAGAGCCACAGCGTGGCTGCCACACCATAGCGCAGTGTCAGGCTGTATGAGGGGGTGTATTCTTCGGGAGATCGCTGTAAATTTGACCAGGGGTCCCTCAAGGCCAGGTTTGAGAAGCCCAGCACCTAGATAAGACAGGATGGCATGTCAGCAACAGGAATTTGAGATGTAGCAAAAGCTGCAAAATGAACAAAAGGGCCATAATTGTGGGAGATGTACCTCAAGGAAGAAAAGCACAGTCATGATCTGAAAAGTCGGACTGATCTTGCGGATTGTCTGAATCTCATTCCATTCATTGGCCACAAAGTAAGTCCTCCAGATGCTGACTGGCGAGGTGTCATGTTTTGATTCGCCACTCACTGAAACAGTAGTCAATGTGGATAATTATTTTAAGCAACTAGTCATTTACCACTTATGAAGCTAAAAGTAAGCATGTTGATACCTGGCACAGATCTATTAGTTTTAGTTCGTGGCCTCTCCCAGTCGATGAGAAATATATCAACTGTAACCTGCAGGGCCAGCTTATGGAGAAACTGGACAGCCTTGGATACAATCACACCAAATAACACATTTTCAGTATTCCAGGTTGAAGCGTACCATCTAGCTTTCAGCAAGGATACTGCTCATTGTTATATCTGCTCAGCTGGTGTCTAACCTTTAGAGCAAAGGCGCAGCCGATGTATGTCACAAACTGCTCCTCCTGAGCCGGCAGTGGTAACAGGACTGACACAAACTGTTGGGCCTAAGCATACACAGACACAAATAAGTACCAGAAAGCAGCAATCACTACATCTAAATATTAACAGTGCTGATAAGGAAAGGTAGAGGAGGGAAAAGACTTGCCTTTAATGTCTACAGAGTGGAGAGAAGAAAACAAAAGCTGTTAAAAGCCATGCAAAAAGACTGAAGTGGAAAAAAAACTAGAGAAAGGAGACATTGACATTCATATTAAAGAGCTCACAAGAATAGAAATAATCCTATAAAAGAAAGACCTGCTGTTTAAGGGAATGAGACATACTTTGTAAAAGATAAGCCAGTAGAGTCCAGTTCCCACAGTGACAGCAAAGAAAACATTGGCCAGGTCACCAGCATAAAACAACAGAAACTTCACCATCGTCTGAAGAAAGACAGGAGAAACCAACATTACTTCATGTGGTTACAGCGACAGATAGTTCTGAAGTACATTACAGGATAAAGGCACAGGACCTCCAGATCAATGAAGGAAGATGCAATCCTCCTCTTCCAGCTGATGGTCTTCAGCAGGGAATAGAGCACGGCCACCCCACCCAACACACCCAGAGCAATCTAAGCAAGAAAAAAAATATCAGAGTTGATCCTGCATCGCTTTTTGCTGTAACAGCAGCTGCATACAAGAACTCCTCCCCTGTGTTTCATCAACATTTCTTTCAAACTTTTACTCACATCTGTCTTTAAGCGAGCCTCACTCTGATCCATCTCATACTCTACAGCAAAGGTTGTCTAGAAGAACACAAATTAATTCAGTGCAAACACTCAAAAACTTGCTTTGAGATAAACAAATCAACTAATTTAGTCAAACTTAACAACTGAGATCAAGGGATTAGGTGTAATCGTCAAAATTAAGCTTTAAACTAAAGCATAATGACAACAATGCGCGAGTGTGCGACCCACTCACAGCCACAGTTTGAGTGTTGAGATCCGTGATGAGAACATCTGTGTAGGTCACAGTCATTAGAGGGGGAAACACCTTCCCTTCCTGGGTTCGTGGAACCAACTGAAACCTACCAAACACGTCTCATCAATACCAGCAAAACCAATCAATCAATCAATCAATCAATCAATGCTTTATTCGCCACATGCAGGTTGCCCTGCAGTGAAATGGGACCCCCCTGACCTTACACACACAACACAGACATTAAATGGGGATACAAGTCAGAGATCGGTAGCGTTACAGAAAAAACACTGAAATATACACAACAATGGGAAAGTACAAGAGGACAAAAAGAGACCTCTACTGATGCTGTGCTTCCATGGTAGGACAGCATGAGAACAGGAAACAAAAAAACTCCTCTGCACAAAAAGCACATAAATGTCCACAGCACAACTTGTGAAAGACATTACAAGCCACAGGATTGGGTGGGGGGTGAAGAGTAATCCGAAGCGAACACAGCAGCCGCCCTGCACAGCGCTACCATTCCAGCGCCGCACACAGACCCGCCTTGTTCCCCCGCAGGAAACAAGCATCGAAGGCGTTTGGAAAGGGAGGGGGATGAGTGCATGTTTATCAGTGTAAGTGTATGTGTGTGCGTGTCCAGAGTTCAGCTGAGACAGTGTCCTTCGCCCTATCAGGCTAAGTAAAGAGTCTGCCAGCCAACCCAGGTGGCCTTGCATGGAATGGGAAGAATAGTCAACACACAGTCATTATCTGGGAGTTTTTGTTCGGCTCCAGCCTTGGACACTCCGACACTGGTCTCTCAATCTCCCGTTGGAGAACCGCGAGCCTCCCCATGATGGTATCAAACTTCCGTTCCGTGGTGTTGTCATTCTTTTGATTCTGAGACCCCACAACTGCAGTGAGCCGTTCTGCGATGTGATCCAACTTTCGCTCAAAGATGTCATTTTGAGCAGGCCTCTCCTTGATGTATCCCAATATACGCTCAATGGTGTTATTTTGAGTCTTCACAGCAGCTGTAAGCGTCTCCAAGGTCTTAACCATGCTGCTTTCGTTGTGAGAAGTCGCGCCTCGTCCCATCGTTTCAATCCCAGCGGGCAGCCTTGGGGTGGTTTGAACAGCCGGTTCCGCTCTCTTAATTCTCCGATAAGCCAGGGCCAAGCCAGCTCCGATCAGCAAGAACCCTGTTATCATGGTTCCGAATAGGTAGATATCTTCAGCGTCCTCGATCGACAGTTCCGCCAGGCACATGAGCCTCCATTTCTGCCACCCGTCCATCGTGTATCCGGCAGGTAAAGTCCCTCCAGGGCACTCGGGCTCTCCCGAGCCCAGACTTCTCGTTGAGAAAAGGGTGTCAATAGCATTCAGAGACCAGTTGATCAAATCCATAATTCTCTTTTAGGTCTTAGAGAACGACAGTGGGAGACTGTTCCAGGGAAAGTAATACACACAAGACAGGACAAGGACACAAGAGGCTAAGCAGGGAAGATAAGGGGAAGGAGGAGGAGGGGAAAAGTGCGACCGCCTTCGCCGAGAGCCAAACGAGAAACCATCATTAAGAACTCATAAAAAAACACGAGTTTCCTTATTTCCACAGCGGGAGCCTACCTTATTTTAACACTGCTGGCTACACGGATGACTTTAGGCTGAGAACTTGTGCTCTTTTCTCTTCCGCTCAGGGTGTCGACGAGAAACATTCGTCGAGACAAGTACCAGTTGTTCATGCTCTCTGTATAAAAACAAAATCATTTGTCAAAGAAATGCAAGCAAAAACACACTTATAGCTGTGAAAAAGTATTTACCCCCCTCCTTCTTATTTTTTGGCTGCATATTTGTCACACTTACGTGTTTGAGGTCATCAAACAAATTTTAATCAGAAGACGAGAACCCAAGTAAACAAAAAAAAACCCCATTCTGACACAGTGCCAGGTAAGGTTGGATAGCTTTTTTCCCCCTTTAATAAACCATCATTTAAAAACTTCATGTTGTACTTACTCTGTCTTTCTTTGTTTGATTATTTTTTGTTTGATTATTGGAAACATGTAAGTGTTTGTGGGGGGCAAATGCTTTTTCACAACAGTCTATATAAACAGTCTATATAAATCCAACCTTGGTTGATGAATCTCCCATTGTATTGCTGGTTCTGGATCAGTGTGGGCAGGGGTAGAAGTTTTGTGTTTTCTCCTCCACCGAGGTCCAGGAAGACGTCATAGAACAATGGTTCGGGGTGGGTGGCAAACAGCTGTGCTACTGAGAGAACACACTGCGCACACACAGACAGCTTATATTACCACTCAGCATTTTAGAGAGTTTGTATTCTTTCTCTCAGTCAAGTGAAATAAAAGAAACTCACACTTTCTTTGTAAGCTGTCCCAAAGCTGAAGGCTGCTGCCCGTTTGGATTTTGGCTGTGGACAAAGCTAAAAGAGCGAGGAGAGGAAGACGACAACATGCTTAACACGGAAAAACTCCAACTCTTTTAGTTAGGTAAGAATCACAGAATAAGTTAACAAAACTATCGGAATACTTCATGTAAAGGATAACATCATGACACAGTGATTCTGTTACACTCGATACATTGCAAGACAATAATCTGCAATACAATTAGACATCTTTACAGATAAACAAAAACTAACATTAAAAGGCAAAAAGGGGAATATTCACTGTTTCGTTTTCTTATTAGTAATAAACTCACAAAATGTCCCAATTTACAATTACAATTTACATTCACTGGACACTTTAAATAGTCTTAATTCTTCATGGCACAGATTTGACAAGGTGCTGGAATCATCCCGTAGAGATTTTGGTCCATATTGACATGACAGCATCGCACAGTTGCTGCAAATTTATTGGCTGATAATACATGATGTGAATCTCTGGTTCCACCACATCCCAAAACAGCTTCTGCAAATAAGTCTAATTTTCTAAGGGGCTGTGCTGTAGAGTAGTATTCAAAGGGTTTTACCTGCAGATTTTGTCCTCCCACTTGCTCCCATCTGAGGAACTCTCCTCTGACATTGTAGACAGCAGCAAGCAGTCTAAAGTCTGTGTTCTGACAAAAAACACACACAACAAAAATGTCAATTAAAAGAACATTTAGCTTTTTAATTTTACATCTCAATTTAAGGTGCCAAAAAATGTTTATTTACTGCTATCATTTTCTCTCACAGTTATTTTCATTACTATTCTGTTTTAATGTAAAGAGGCTTAAAGTCAAGTACTTACCTTGTTTTTACCTCTGAAGCTAAACCCAATTGGAACAGGATCAGTCTGAAGCACGCGAATGGCAACTCCTGGTTCATCCCCGTAATAAAGCCACGGCAGATTAGCTCTCCTGAAGAGTTGTGAGCATTCACTCAGGGTAAACTACAACAGGATTCATTCACGTTTACAGAAAGGTCGCATAATTTATACATGATTACCAGTAAGAAATGCCTTGGGTTGAGCTCAAAGCAGCCCTGAATCTGAAGATGTTGTTGAAGAGTGCACAGGCATCTGTAGATGCACTGCTGAAAGAGTGCATGTTCATCACACACATGTTTCCAAGAGCCTGACACGCCGTCAGGTTGGAGAAGCCCTGTAGGAACACGACTTGTTTACACAGCACTGCTAAATACATCAGAATAATACCGGCACACAGCACTTGTAACAAAGCACATTACACATATTTTAAAAGCCACCTCAGGGGTTGGCTTTAAAAAAATCTAATGACTTGTGACAAGTGACATAGTAGGGACATTGTTTATGACAATATTGGAATGTGACTTAAACTTGCTTCCCATGATTTTAGATGAAGAATTACTTATAAAATACATAAGGTCTTGGATTTACAAGGCAAGCTGAGGAAGAGGAGTAGAGGTTTTCCAGGAACCAGGCTGACTGGACACTGAACTTCTGCAAGGCGAAAAACAGATCAGAGTTTAAAAAAAAAAAAAAAAAGACAAAGAAAAAAAGAACAAAAAAAACCATCAAAAAATTTACCAAGAAATCAGAGAGAAGGAGACTCACCAACTGAGAATAAGTGACAGTGGGATTGACATTGGTGGAGATGATACCAGGAGGGAAACATAAACCTCCTCCCTGGGGAGAGAGAAAAAAATAAATCACAAAACAATCACAGATGCAATCCTATAGCCTCTTAATTTAATGATGTGGGATGTTTAAGATGTCAAAAGGGTCAAGATTGTCTGGACTCACCGGGACGTTAGGAGATTTACATGCACAAGAGGTATTAACGTAGGCAGCCAGACATCTCTCACACCTAAAAGGCAATTTTAGGTATCACTCCATTTCTCACATACCATACAAGAAAGATCTGCAGTCAAGGCAGACTTTACTACAACTCAGACAGAACTAGCAGGAGTAAAAACAAATGTCTGTGCATACAAAAAGAACGCTACGTCCAGATAAACAGAATCATCTTTTTGGGATCAATATTGGACATTTTAAAATCTCTAATGCTGCCTTTCTGTGCCACAGTGGAAAAGTGAAATCATCTGTTTCGTTCAAAGTACAGTCTCTGAACGAAATGAGACTGTACTTAATTAATCTCTTCAAATATGCAGATTTTATTCAGACAAAATACCTGTCTCCATTCCTGTTTGGTACCGACAAAGCAGGACTGTCTTCGTCGCACGTTTCACACCTGGCCTCTTCCAAGAGGGTTCCATTGAGATCTCTTTCCACTGAAAAACAAAAACAACCTTTCATGCAGCAAATGCACAATTATTACGGTTCTTCATTCAATTTATTAGCTTATTAGTTTGAGAGGGAGATTCCCTCTGCACAGGTTGCCAACACAGGGTCACAGACAACCATGCACATTCATATTTCATGTCTTCAGGCTGTGCGATGAAGCTAGAGAGAGCTTGCATAGGCAAAGTAAGAACACACAAACTCCACACAGAAAGGTCCCCAGCTGGACGGCAGATTCAAACCCAGTACCTTCCTTCTATGACAGTACCAACCACCGTACCACTGTGTACTGCATTCCTATTACCAGTGACTCACCCAGGACATCACCAGGGGGGCACTGGCAATTTCCGTCATTACTGAGGGCGCCTGGACAGCGAATACAACCAAACCCATCTTTTGTGACGCCCTGTAAATAAAAACAGAGAACACTGTAAGAGCTCACATAACCTAAGATACAAACTATCTTACATGAAATTTAAAAAAAAAAACGAAATAAAAGTGAAAGACTATACGTACCGGTTTGTTTGGGAGACATTTCTCACAAGACATGGACGCTTTATCAGTGGTAACAGTTTTGTACCCACTCTGGCAGACACAGCTCAGTCCTGAAAACAGTAAGAAACCCAATTTAAACTTTGAGGGAACACTGGATATGTTGCGTAGCTTTCAGCTCAGAGATATTAATGCAATGACAACCCCTCCAAAATGTTTTAAACAATGTTTTAACAGTGTTTTTATGTGGTGTTTATGCTGTATTTGTTTTTGTTTTTTGCCGTTTTACTCGTATACACTGAGAGCCACATTTAACCTCCTAGGACCTGGCGTCCACATATGTGGACATCACATTTTGGGTTATTTAGACCAAAATACTCAATTTTGCTCTACAAAGGCCTGATATCCACTTACGAGGACATTATGCTGCTACTGTTCTACCAAAATTTTAAACGAATATCCTCATATGTGGCTCTTATTTTTCATAAAAACAAAAATAAAGTAAAAAAAAAAATCTGGTAATTCTTTGTTTTTACATTCATTGGGCCCCGATATGACCAAATATCAAAGAGAAATTAAAAATGCATGCCGTGGAAGAGTTTGGGTCTTAGGAGGTTAAGGCAAACTTCTACTGCTTTGAAATGGACAGTAAAGTTTTCTGATTCTGAAACCTCAGGCTCTCATTCTTTGCTAGTAGTAATAAAAATACTAGATGTAAAGAGAGGGTGCAACAAAAGAATAACCAGCAAAATGCTACATACAAAAAGTCATCATCACATTGCTCTTTAGTGGTGTTAGAGAGGCAAACTAAATGGTGGATGGAGGACATACTCGTGTCTCCTCTTGAAGGTGAACTGTGTTCATGCAAAATGATCTGAATTTTATGCGTTTTTTGTTTTTTTTACAAGTAAAGACCAAGCGAGGAAGTGGCCCTGCAGTTTCTGCAAACAGAATAAAGAGCAAATACACAGGATACAGGATGTGATTTCACAAGCTTTGATCTACACATCCTCTACTGAGTTTTCTTTTTTTTTTTTTATTATGAAAAAAAGGGGATGACATTTATCTTCCCCTCTAAGCTTAATGCTATCTGTAGGCCAAACTACAACGAAATGAGAATCCAACTTTCACTGCCAGCACTCCTAAGTAGACTGATCCTGTATCCTTCTAAACCCACACTGATCCATGCATAGCTCTTCAATCAGCAGCAAACAAGTGCCAGCAGACATTTGGAGCATAAAAACTACCCCTGGCTAAGTAAATGAAAGCAATTCAGAGCAGCAGATTGTCATATTTTGTCATAACCCTGGCCGTGGCTCAGGGGATTGGGAAGCGTATCTGTAACCCGAAGGTCGCCGGTTCGATACCTGGGCTCTCTGTCCTGGTCATTGTGTCCTTGGGCAAGACACTTTACCCTACCTACCTCCTACTGGTGTTGGCCAGAGGGGCCGATGGCGCAATATAGCAGCCTCGCTACTGTCAGTCTGCCCCAGGGCAGCTGTGGCTACATGTGTAGCTGCCTCCACCAGTGTGTGAATGCGAGAGTAGTTGAATTGTAAAGCGCTATATAAATCCAATCTATTATTATTACTGAGTGTCAAACTGATAATCTACATCAGAAATTTGTTGCACTGTTTGTTGGCTTTGAAAGTGATGGCATAACTGCACTGATGTTCAGGAGGGGGCAAACACACTCGAGTGTGAAAAGATTAACCCTAACCACCCCGTCACTCACTGTATGAATCAGAAGTTAGAACTAAGTCCTTGATGCTGGATTCCTTTAAAAGCAGACAGTTTTCATAGTCTAGATAATCTGCTGTGGTCTAGTTCTCTCTTAATTTAAGTACTGTGCAAAAGTCTTGAGGCACCCCTCATTTCTTTATATTTTGCTTCCAAGGAACCAGATCTTCTTGTAATGTTTTTTTTAAAAGCTGCCTTGAACAATAGCTCTTCAGTTTTTCTCAGTGTAATCCTTATACCCAACAATTTTAAGATGATTCACATATGAATCATTCAATCATAAAACCCCCCACCAAATGGTATTTCAGTCAGTGGTGTCAAAGAACTTGTGAAAATTGAAGGAATTCGGAACACAGAGAAGTACCATCAGGTACAGCAATGTCATTAATTTATTTTCTGTGGTGCCTATAACGGGAGACGAACCCAGACGTGCCTGAAAGCGAGAGCCACGTGTGAGCTACCGATGACGATTTTTAGTTAACAAAAACCTCCATGTTTTGCAAAAACAGGCAAGAAAACTGTCCCCACTAAAGCTGGAAACGACAAACTTGTTTCATCAAGTGAAGCAAAAAAAAAAAACAAACAAAAAAAAACACTGCATGAGTACATAGAGGGTGTGACGGCACAGGAGGAGGAGATACGAGCAGCTGGAGATGTGCGACACAGAGTAAACAAATTACTCAACCAAGTGCTGTAGCACTCGGTAGCTTCACTTCATGTGACAGGAAGAGCAAACGGCGGGTTAAAATCACTGATTCGCAGCTGGTTACAAACTCGACACAGGATACAACATCCCAGGTAGAAAATATTTCTTCAGTTTTTAAATTTTAGTATATGATAACATTGTACAGCTCCCAGAGTTACACGGTTAAGTTACTTTTGTTATTATTAAGCTAAAGTGTTGGGCAATCGTGTAATAAAGTGAAAGCACTACCCGTTATGCTCTTTTTTCTTCTTACATTTGATTTATGTGGTGACTCTATAATGCTGCTGCTGCGGGAAAAGATTCACACTTTCGGTTCAATGGTTGCAGTGTCTGATTTGGAAAAGGAGGGAATAAAACATTCAACATTTCTCATTGCTTCATCTTGACAAAGATGAAGCAGCAAACATCCAAAGAAGAGCTTTAAATGTCCTCAAAGAAGCCTGGAGAACGTTTCCTGAAGAGTACTTAAGACATTACGAGAACGTTGGTCTAAGAAAGTTCACGGTGTGATAAAGAATAAAGGTGATCATAGTAAATATTGGCCTTCAAGCTGGTTAGAATTGAATAAACTCTGTTTTTGCCCTATCTGAAGTATTTTTATTTTGTGAAAGATTGAGAAACACCGTCAAAAGTGGAAAAAAGGACCTAACATCCAGTCTTTTTATGGTTAAAGTGATACATAGTGCTAAAACAGAGTTTATCCATATGTAATTTTGCTAATAGGGAATCCTACTTAATTCTTTCTAGAACATAATCAAGAGTAAACCTGATCAATATGATGAATGAGAAAATGTGGTTTGAGTAATAAAATGGTTTTAATGCCTGACTTTTGCCTAGATTCTGGGCACATTGTTACAACTACGGTGTGTCCTTGTCTCTCTCTATGCGAGTGAGAGCACTAAGCGGGCAGCGTGTAAAAGACAGAAATGTGAGTCTCTGGTCCATCATGCATGATTTTGAATAAAAGAATTATATTGAGTAAGTTGCAATTGATAAACACAGACTCATGAAGACAAAAGGTATATTCACATGTGACAGAGCTGAAAAGAAGTAAAGCAGTTGAAGTGTCATGATATCATATGTAATTGAGCTAATGAGAAATCATGTTTGTGTACAACATAGAAAAAAAAGAAAATGTAACTATCGTGATTAAGTGAGCTTGAATTTGCCTTAAATTATGTGGGTGAGAGGTCAGAGAGAACGGGAGAAACAATGGGATGGGCCTCAACAAGCAAGCCATGGTTGGTAAACGGAGAGAAAGAACGGGAAAAATGGGAGGAGAGAGAGCAGGTGAAGTGCCTGACAAATGAGTATAAAAGAGGGCTCTTAGGAAGGCTGTTCTTCCTCTAGTTTCCTGCAATGGCTAGAGAAAATTAATCACTGCATCTTTTCCCATTTGACAATAGAAAAAACCCCAAAAACAAATAACAACAACAACAAAAAAACAACGATGGTCACCTTTTCCACATATACATATATCATACACCCATAAAGTTTGGGGAAAGCATTAGATGAGCACAGGCACTCTGGGATCTAGGATCAAGTGTGTAACAGGATCTTTTATTTAAGACAGTTTAATTACAACCTAAAATGTTGGAGTTAGTGAGGCAAGGCTGAGATGGTTTGGACAGAGGGTGGATAGTGGGTACAATTGACAAAGAATGCCAAATGTGGAGCCGCAGGGTAAGAGAAAAAGAAGAAGACCACAGAGATTATTGATGGGAGAGGACATGCAGAGGATTGGTGTGACAGAGGAGGATGCAGGGACACAGTGAGATGGCGGTAGATGATCTGCTTTGGTGACCCCCTAAGGGGAGCAGCTAAAAGAAAGAAGGAAAAAGAAGTACAACTAAAATGAAGACCTATATGTTACAAAATAAGGTTGAATTAGCAATAAGATTTCTTTATGATCAAAGTAATCCACAGTAGTTGAGAATACACAGCAAACGGTAACTGTGGGAAAACGGAGGCTTCTAACATGGACGGTGCTCATGTCAGAAGCCGTCATTAGTTTGAGAATTATAAATTATAAAAGCTTCCTCTCAGATTATCACAAGTCAGAAGGCTTACAGCAAGCAGGACTCCTCTGAAAGCAGTGTTTGTGTCCTCCTGTGCTCTCCAAGCGCACCTGGCTGCTTTGTGCTCTTGTTTGAAATAATATTATTTGCATGTGATCAGCTTTGTTCAGCATTACTTACATTTCAGCTCAAACCTGCTGTCTAACTTTACTTAACGTCAAACAGACTCCGTGCATACCTCTTTATCTCAGCAGCGTGCTAGCTCCTGAGCTCATTATTTTTGCACCGAGCACCCTAGCTTACTTTGGCTTCTTTGTGGTTAGACTTAAACTTTATTTGATTAACGGTAAGACACTTTTATTTTCAAAGTGGCGTCGTTTGCTCGATTCCGGTGATGCGGTGTGATGATGGTGAGGTTAACCGACCTGTTGTGCTCCGCCGCTGATTTGGACCGCACCTCACACACGACAAACTCGAAATATCGAAAAACTCCTCCGCGCCGCAGTCTGATGGAGTCCTGAAGGGGATGGTGAACGGCTGGCACCGCAGGACGTCGATGTACATTAAAATAAACAACGTTACAGGCACTTTGTGTCTGTTAACGACAAACTGTAGCGTCTCCGTCGCCATGGTAAACAACGTTCTTCCCTTTTTTACCCACAGTGCTTTATGCGACGTGATGACGTGTGACGCAAATGAGTAAAAAAAAACAAAAAAAACAAAACCCATACCAGAAATAAAACAGTTAAATTCGTTTAAAAGATTTCTATATAAAATACTTTTTTTATTTTAGGGGAAATCAATTAGTATTAATCTGACCATTAGTTTAGCTCCATTAGAAATTCATAAAGTGGATTTTCTTCATATATGAGATGTAACTTTATTTTAATTTGATTGTAACTTTATTTAAATGTGTACTTAAATTTAAATGTTTCGAATTCTGTCCAGTCCGATCCCTCCCAGTGAAAACGTTAATACCTTTAGCTCTGGTCTCCTGTCTTTTGTAAGTACAATAAATCATAGCAGGTCTGACTGCAGTCTTCTAAACCTTGCCACCTCCCCTTTCACACTTGCTGCTCTACTTCACCCTGTCTGGACGCCCTTCTTTACCTCTCTTGTGCACGGTCTGTTGCTTTGGATGGTTAACCCAAAGTATTTAAACTCAGCTTTAATTTTTACACCTGCCTCCTACATTGTTCTAAATAATATAAAGTTACTTTGATCTGCTCCTTTATTCACAAGGGGCCACCACAGCGGGTAGTTTAAAATAAAATCAATAAGGGTGTTTTCACCGATTTCACTGCAAATAGGCACATTGAAAACCGTCACTGCTTAAGGTACTGATAAACACAAGCTGAAGATCTAACCAGCTTTTCAGAAGAGCAAGATTTTAGAAAATACACCTATTGCAAAGTAGTAATTACTTGTTTTTGTTTGGGTTTTAACGTGTGAGTCATACGGGACTTTTGACAGGAAACATAATCTGCAGCTGCATCTTGCATTTCCACTTCCTTACACAAAGTACGTATGTTAATATATTGGCATAGACCTCAGGGGAGGAGAGACCGCACTTCTTAGTGATCAAGTAAGCTTTTAAAAATCTAAAGATTTAAGTGAAACGCTTTAAAACAGGAGAGCAGATAGGAGATGCACAAGCCTTACAAAGAGAGTTCAGGTAAATAACTGAAACTTACTCATTTTCAAATTCATGACGGATCAGTTCTTAGTTTAGGAAACCAACACTCAAGGTATGTTTTTTTTTTCTAGCTTTTTATGGATAAATTACTAATTTTATTTAATAATTTGCACTTTAGTAATTTGCTGAAACCATTTTTGCTCTTATTTTATTTGGAAAAAAACAACAACAACACACACATAGAAACGGGGATATGTTTAGGCTCACAGGACATGATTGTGTTGAATCAACGAGGACACTGGAAGAAAGAGAGCTGAGGGCAATGTCATGCAGATTATTTTTGATGTACAGTGATGTACCAGTTCTCCCAGGAGTTACGCTCCCCTCCAGCAGGTGGCGGTAAGTCTATAAAAAAAATCAACGGGGTAAGGGGTTAAGCGGGAGAGGCGGGACAAAAGAGATTTTAAGCATGGGTCCACGACTAAAAGTTTAGTCGGGTTTACAGCAGTGACAACGCCCGCCATGCCAGCTTTTAACGAGTATCTGTTGTGAGTGGCTGTGGTGAGTATTTGTTCGGATTTCAAGGAAAGAAGAAAACGTGTTTTTCCTGCGCCTTCTCTTTTGCTTTCCACCAGCAGCACACGTGTTCTCACTGAATGTGCGTTTCGTGGTCGTAAGCTAACACACAGCCCATATTTTGGCTCATTTCAGCCGTTTTCCTTCTCTCTCACTTTTTTTAAAGGTATCTCATAACTTGGTGACCTGGTAGCAGCAAAATGACCATAATCCTGCGACTGAAAGGTCTGGATGCCAAGGCGGGTATTGAAGATATTCGGGCTTTCTTTGGCTCTGTGCGAATTCCTGATGGTGGAGTGTGCATTGTGGGAGGAAGGCTCCAAGAGGCCTTTATTGCGTTCAACACAGAAAGAGAGGCTCAGCTGGCCATGCGGCTGACTGGAAATGTACTCAAAGGCTCTAAGGTGACTCTGCACATAAGCAAGATGGAAGAGCTGGAGCATAGATTAGAGACAGTTTTAAAGGAGAAGAAGAAAGCCTCCCACCATGCTGTTAGACTGCGACCACGTGCAGCTGTAAATCGCATGAGTTCAAATACAAGGCCTCGCGATAATACTGCAAGTCTTTCACCTTCTTCTACATACCCAGTTAGTCGTGCTAGTTCAAATCTATCTGTGAAGGCACAGAATGTTCATCACAGTACTGCAGATATACAGACTTCAGATGCACAATCTCTTGATCCCAGTGCAGCCTTTCTTCTTGGGATTTGTACTGTTCTCCAAGGTCTTCAGCCAACCCACCAAAGAGATGTCCTCATCGCAGACAGTCCTGCTGCTGTAGGGAAAGAGGAGAGGACACCAGAGCAAACTCTAAACTCACAGCCAGGCTACGTCAGGCTCTTTGGTCTGCCACCCTCAACCACAAAAGATGATATCTGCCATTTTTTCAGAGGGCTGACTGTACAGGAAGCCATAGTAAATGTGAGGTTGGGATTAAACCATGGCTGCCTTGTGAAGTTTGCTACAATGCAGGATGCAAGTGCTGCTCTTAACTTTAACCAGCAATCACTGGGCCCCTTCTGCGTGGATGTTCGTGGAGCGTGTGAGAAGATATGGAATAGCGCGCTGCAGGAATGTGAAGATGCTGTTGATGTTGAGGCGATACAAGAACGCCACCAGTACCCTCTTAAAGAAAGTGTAAACCACAGGCAAAAATCTGCTTCTGTACTGCGCCCCAAGAGGAAGTCCATCAACCAGCTGCTAACTAATGGACCAAAAAAGCTAAAAGTTGACAGTGAGTCAGGAACTCCAGCTGTGGAGTACATTGTTATGGTAAGCAATCTGCCCAAAACGATGACCAAGACTGAAATAAAAGAGTTGTTTGGATGTGCAACCATTCCACACAAAAATGTACTGCATCTGCTCGACAAAGAAGGCAACAGAACAGATACTGCTTTTCTCCTTTTTAATCGAACTGAAGATTTCGACTATGCAATGAATCTCACTGGCTGCCACGTAGGCTCCAATACTATTACAGTCTCATCAATCACAAAGGAGGCAATGAGAGAAAAGATGAGCAAAATGCATCTTAAAAGTCTCAAGCATCGTCTAAAGCCCAAAGACCCAAGAACGAAACCAAATCTAAAGAGGAAATCTGGCCTAGTTGATGCCTCTGAGGGGTCACTGGGTGCGGACATGGGCCTGGAAGCTAAGACTTGCCTGTTTATAAGAAACATGCCGGCAGATGTGCAGAAAGATCAAATCAAAAGCCTTTTCAGCAAGTACAAAATAAAGAAGGACAACATTGCGTTACTGCGCAACAGTGAGGGAAGTGGCATCGGTGAGGCCGTGATTCAGTTTAAGTCAAAGAAGCTTGCTGCGCTGGCTCAGAGGCTCCACGGGAAAGACTTTCTGGGGACGAAGGTGCTTCTGACATGCATTACCATGAGGCAGATGGAGGACATCTTGGCAAAATAAGTTTGACAATTTTTAGACAGCGCTCTAATGTGGACAGAGCTGTGCGAGACTGTTCAAAGCTTTATTCATTCATCCATTTATTCATTCAAGTTTTTGACCAGTTCTGTTTGTGGCAACATTTCTTGCATGAAACATGATTCCGCTTTTCTAATACCTTCCTGTTCATAAATCATTTGTACTGTTTAAAATAAATCTTGAAATACTTTGTTGGTTTATTTATTCACCAAATACAACTGCCAATGGAAAAATCCCTGTTGGATGGAAGATGGAACTTTCAGAACCTGCATCAAGATGAAAAGAAACCAATCGAGCTAGTTATTTGTGTCCGATACTGCACAAGGAAGGTCTCAAATACAACTTCCTAACCTAGAGGATCCGTCAGCATCTGGAAATACTTTGATGGGGACATGAAATCAACCACAAATATATCTTTATGTCCATTAATAGCTTTTAATCGCTGTGAAACTTAAACTAAAATGATCAGGTAAAGTTGCTGGATACAACAGCAGACATGTAAATCCTTCCACGTTATAAATCTTGCCATATTATGAAGAAATAAACATAATTAAAACAAGGACAGCAAAAGACTGAAAACCCAGTGCATGAAAATATATATTTTTTTCAAAAGTACATGAAATCAACATCTGGACAATGACCCCTGTGCATGTAGTACAGAAAGATGAGAAGACAGACTTGTTGCATCTCTTATTTGTAATACCTGGGCGGACCGTCATTGTATCGGGATGGACCTGCAAAAAAAGCAAACTATTAATAAGTGGACAGCAAAGAATGATGCCTCACACGCTCCTTTGGAGTCCTTCATTTAACAGTCCTTGATATTTGAGCCATGGATCTGTCATAAAAAGTCTGGGAGAAGGTGCATGTATACCTGAGAGGCCACCTGAGAATCGGTTGCTACTGCTTTGCATTCTAGGGGGTGAAGAGAAGTTTGTGGAACTCAATGATAAGCTGTTGGGCCCCTGAGGAGGAAACAGATGCCACAAAATAAATGTTTTAATCTGAGGGACAAGTGAAACATCTGAAAAAGTAAATCTGGTTTTGCTCATCCTTTCAGAGCAAAGGAAACCTAGTGCACACAGCTGAAATGGTTAAAATTAAATTAGAACTTTAGTACTCAGCTCGCCAAATAAGGTTTGAAGGCTGATCTTTAGTGTTTGGTTTCAAAATGATTTCTAGGATAGATACTGTTAAAAAAAGAAGAAGAAGCAACAACTCAAAACAACACACCCCTGAAACACTTCTGAGTCGATACTCCATCAGCACATCTGTTAGTTTCTGCGTCACCTTCAGCACCAGCTGGGCATCGCTCTCATTCTCTATCCTGAAAGTATCCTAAAAACACATTTTGTAAAATTACTTTCTGAATATAAATATGAATATAAAAAAAAGAAAGAAAAGATGCTGACTTTAAACCTATTGTAAGAAACCTACCAGGTATGTGAGCAAAGTATGGGGAAGGCTGCTAGATTCTGGAGCTGCCCCCATTAATCCCGGCCTGTCCATTGGTCTGTCCATCAAGCTACTACCCATCCGGTTGCCCTGGTACTCGCCTGAATACATTTTGTTTGGACGTTCATCCAGCAGTCCACTCCTTCTGTAGGTGTCTCTTCCACTACCTGAACCGCGACCCATATTATCCATGAAATTTCCCCGATCCATACCAGAGTCAGAAAAGTCTTCCCTGGAGGAGTAGCCTCCAAAGCCGGACTCCCCAAATTCATCTACGGGATAATCAGGATGAAACTCCCCTGGGAATCTTGATTCAGAGAACCTGGGACCTGTGAGATTCAGGTTTATTACATTTCAGTTCACATATTTTTATTTTAATAGAACAGAAATATTCATGCACATTGAGAAAATTAATGTCAATCACAAAGAACTCGCCAAAGGGTGGCCCCATTTGTCCCATTCCTGGAGCTGGTGAAGGCCCGGCTTTAGGAATAGCAGAGCCTGTGATGGAAGGATGTGTGAAATTAACAACTAATGCGAAAGAATGGAAATCTTTTAGTGTTGTTGAATGCTAAGCTAAGCTTTGACCCCAGCTAAGTAGGAAAAATTGTTGTTATTTATTTTTTAAACTGAGAAGCTGATCTTAGTTTTTGAGAACTTAAAAACATTGGATGCAAACAGAGCAGAATAACTTACGTAGTCCTTTAAAAGCAGGAATGTCAAAGGGCTCCCTGAGGATCACCTAAATGTGACAACGGGAACAGAAAATGATCAAATCCAACATATTGTTAAGTGCACCCACCCCTCGAATGTAAACATGGGAGACTTTTAGCCCCATCTGCAATATAAAAGTTTTATGTGGACCAAACAAAGATGAAGTTATCTGGCAGTACCTTGGAGACGGAATTTGAACTTTTGTCTAGTAAGAGAAAAGTAAAAATCCCAGAGCAAACACACCAATTCAGCAGACCAACATTACATATAACATAAAAACTGAACTATCACAGGTGTAGCGCTCACCTTGATTTGTCCGCTCACCTTGATTTGTCCCCTCCCCTCCGTCTTTTCAAATTCAGCCGCAGCTTCTTTAATGGATTTTCTGATAGCAGGGTCTTTCACGGCATCTTCCTCCTCATGCGTAATCTTGTCAGGGTGGGTCTTTTTCTGTGTGAAAATCAGAATAAAAGAATGCAAATGATTCTGCAACCTCGTGTGCAGACTTTGAAACAGACAACACTCACCATGTATCTATAGCAGTGTTTCCAGCCTTTCACATGGTCAACAATGTCATGCTGCAAGCTGGCCATGGCGCACAGTTTGCACTGGTAGTGTGGAGGGACAGATTTACTGGGGCTGCGGTACTCCCACACATACTGAAGGCCTGCAGACACAATGATTATTGATTATTCACTTCTTTATGCAAGAAGGAGAGGAGGTAAAGTAGATAGATGTGAGGAAAATCCCTACGCTGCTTACCAATCACACAGTCTGTGATACCCTTCAAGATTTTGTTGAGCGAGGGCACAGTATGGATAGAAGATCCTTTGGAGAAAACTGGGAAAACATAATAGTGGTCAGCATTAAGTAGAGGCTGAATTTATAACTAAAACAAGACATATCCTGAAAACTAGTAAAAAACTAATTGCAATTATACTGTACTGTTTCACAACCTGCAATGTTTAATGGACTGGAATTTATTCCAGATTTTACATGGATGGATCAACCCAAACTTCCCATGTGAGCTTGGGAGAAAAAACAAACAAACAAAAAATAACAGGAGCTCTAAGTTAACCCCCATTTAGGCCCAAACTGAGCTGCAGAACAACACATTCTGTGATGCACTGCTTCTCACTGTGCGCAGCCGCAGAGCGGTAACTTCTGTGTTGCATTCACCAAAGCATTCCTTTTGCAAACGCACGATAAAATTAACACATAATTTAAAAACAAAAAAATTCTGCTAAGCAGGCAAAGTTTATGTCTAAGAAAAAAAAGTTGAATGCAAGTCAAGCCAGTGTAACACAGGCAACTGGTAAAAAATTGATATTGCATTCAGCAGTATTAAAAAGAAACAAGTGCATTAAAACTTAATTAGTAACCGGTGCAGATGCATGGTAGCATAAGCCATGTGTCGTGCGCTTTTAAGGATAATGGTGCTGCTCTTCAGTGTAGCAACATCTTAATGAGACTGGGTTGGGTTGTTATTCAAATTATTTAGAAAACGTCCAAAAACCATTCCGAAAACTGGACTTCTAAATAGGAAACTTTTAAGCAGGAAATGTTTTGCGTGAATACTTTTGCAGTGATCTCCAAAGACCAAAACAGTAGACTGCACCACATAAGACTCACCACCCCCATCCTCAAATCTCTGAGGTTGTGAGCCTCACTGAGTGGTGAACATGCCACCACACGTGACATGAAGCATGGAAACCAAGGTCTCAAGCTTCAACTCTCAACACTGGAAGTGGCACCGTGTGTAAAAGGACTTACCTATATCAGCAGAATGCTGCAGCTGCCTTCTCTGTCAGCAGAGGGAATAAACCCACGAGAAGGAGAGAGACACACAGGAAATTAGTGACAGGATGACACTAAGCAGAGGACTGAACTCCTTGTCCAGGTCCGCCACACAACCATTACGTTCTCATCCTCTTTGACGCCTGCATTAAGCAGTGACAGTCACAGGAATGTGTATAAATGGTGTCTAAATCCTCAACAAGTGAGAATGTAGACCAGCAACAATTTGTTACTACAGGGAAGAAACTGGGTTGTTACACCTGCCGCAGTGGCCGCACTGAGGGAGGCTGAGGTCAAGACCTCAGCGATCTGACAATGAAACTGGTAGAAGAGAACATGCTCTTCTACCACCGTGCACTGTGGTCAGTGTGATGTGTTTGAAAGCCCCAAATTTGAGCTTGACAGACAACAGCAAACAGAAACCCTTTGGAAACAACTAAACATACACCCCCTTCAATGATAAGAGTGATGTCAGCTGTGTGAAATATGGAGGTGGTTCCCGTTAGAGGCAGGTGCTGAGGTGGACGCCACTTCATTTGAGGATACCTACTAATAAAGAAAACATATTTCCAAGCATACAACTTTCTTCAAGATAAGCAAAAGGAGATAAGACAGACATAAGCAGCCAAAAATTGAAGACACTGAGTTTAGATTATTGAAGTTAAATATCTAAGCAGAAATGTAAATAATCACTGTAATTCCTGCAGTGATTTACTGTTTTGCAGCTAATTTACATTTTAAGTAACTGCATGTTACTGATAAACACCAGGAGAGTGTGGTTTGGAGATAGAAATCCAGGACTGAGGGTACTCTGCTGTAAAGTACTGACTTCACCAGTGGAGCTTTGTTCACTGGTGGGAGATCATAATTTTTGTAGCAAATAATGAACTTTTGAGTTTTTAACCTCATGCACAGTGGTTGTACAGAACGGTGACGTGTCTACTACCTGCCGTTTAATTGAGCAGTGATGTAACAACGTCTCTTAGGGAAAAACTGGACTGGATATGTCGCCATTGACTTTAAGTCCTCGAGGATTTGAATCAGCAAGTGATCCGTGACTACCACTTTTGAATGTGACAGCGCTCAGTAGTAAAAAATGAGTGGCCTGCCATGTGGTACCGTTTAAGAGAAGCCAGTTTATCTCACTTTAGAATATATTCGGAACACCAACGTGAATAAAACCAGTGTTAAAAACAAACAAACAAAACAACAATTCTTTAAACCATAACAGGTTTGACAGGCCGCAGATGTGAGGCCAGAGCCAGTGAATATTGTCTTCAGTAACAAGACTGCAAATGAAGCAGGCCTGAAGGCACAGGAGCAAGCAGGAAGCCCACAAGTTCAGGGCTGCTGCACCCCGGCACTCCATCAGGTACCACAACAGCAAAATTTGGGGAGGATGGGGGGAAATTATAGGAAAACCCACATTTTTACTTTAGGTTTTTGATACTGCACACTTGGGCTCATGTGGTACTGAAGTAGAGCCAAGGACTGACACTTACCTTTGGATTCTTCTTTGGATTTGGGGGCCCACTTTGTGCTGGAGGCTGGTTTCCTGAATTCTCATCCTCCATTTCCTCAGCGTTGTCACTACAAGACAAATGATGTCTTATTGCTGGTTATCAAATCATTACACATACTAGAACTAATTGCACAGTTAAAACTAGGGATGCGTGCAAGCAGTTGACTAATCGTCGCTGTGTCACTAGTCAACATTAAACATACTCGTTGTTTAATCTAATTGTTCTAAATTACATTTTTTAAGTGATGCCCAATGCTGCTAAATTGTTATGCAGCCATCTGTCACTAGATGGAGCATCGGTGTTGAAAAATGCCACAAATCTGTTACTCTAGGTCTGATTTTTTGTTAACACTATAATTGTTAATTCTTTTAAAGATGAAAGAATGAGACTCCAGATACAAGTGGCAGAAATGCGCTTTCTCTGAAAAGTGGATGAGCTTTTCCTTAGTGATAGGGTGAGCAAAGTAGAGCTCTGAACTGGGAATTTAAATTTACTAAAAGCTGCTGATCATAGAGGTATGGGACATGGGTTTGTAAGAGATCTGATAAATAACTTGGAGCAAGCCCATGCAAGCACTTATATGTGAGAAACAATATTTTAAAGAGGACCAACATGCTATGTAGCAATTTAAAAGGTTATATGATAATTCTTCCAACTATTTCTTGGGAATCAACTGGTACATGGAATCAGCAGCATTGTGAGCCAACTGCAATTGTAACAATTATGTTTTTCTCAGTCCAAAATACACTATATGGACAAAAACATTTCCTAATATACACCACTGCAAAAGTCAGTTTGTGAAATTTCTTCCCTAATAGATATTCCACAATCGGTGACCATGTAAAGTTACAGAGCAGTATCGCTGAGATGGATAGTGTGTAAAAGCCACCAGTGCTCTGCTGACCCAGTAACTGCAGAGCTCCAAACCTCCTGTGGCATTGACATCAGCATGAAAACATTGCCCAAGGGGCTTCATGGTATAGGTTTTCCATAACTGAAGAGTAGTACCTCCTAATTCAGATCAAGGTAATGGCTCAGTCAAGAGTAAAAATATAGAGCAACCTGATTGCAGCTACTAAAAAACAACCAAACAACTAAAACCTTAACACCGCATGGTCGATGTATTAAATATTTTCACATTCTGCAAGTTGTGGTGACTAGATGCCTGCCCAGAGTTGCACACCCACAACTACTTTTGACCACAAGGTGACTGCACAGGTCTGATAGAAGGAAACCTTTCTGAAAACAGTCACACTCTTATTTGGACTGATGGTAATTACTCTCAGACAAACTGCTGAAGCTTTACAAATAATTACCATTTAATTTATAAATGCAGACAGATTGGCAACATGTTGCCAATCTGTCTGAATGAGTCTGTGTCAATGAGCACAATTTGAGGGGACTCGACATAACTGACTGCTAGCTGGTTGTAGTCTGCTTATATTCTTGTTGAAAAAAAAGGTTGCTGAGTATAAATGTAATAGTTAAATGTGAATTTGTGCCCATGTTTAGGCAGATACACGATTTTCACAAGGGTGAATACTCAAATCTTGATGTGTTAATCACTCGTCCTCGGATCACACTATATGTTGTAAGATATGTAACGTCTTTTAAAATATGCAAATCTATACTATATTTTAGAGTTTGATAATGTTTATCTGATTGCAAAAAACAAAAAGGAGAATTTATAAATTTATAACATTTTCTCTAAGTTGCGACTTTCTGATCCAGCCAGGTGATTAGCTGTTAAATTTGTTTTGGGAAACGTGCTACACCCCATCTACATGTGCTTTCGAGGACTAGCCATTCAAAACAAAGGGCAGTATTGTTACTACAGACAATACTTTTTAAACGATCTTAGATTTCTTTTTTCAGTATTTTAATAACTTTATCAACGAAACAGAACAGCAACAGTACTGGTGAAAAGGTAGCAGCGTAGGCGGAAATAAATCTAAGTAATACAAATACAAAAGAAGAAAGGGCCACCTTTAAAAAAAATCTTGTAATATTGAAAACTCAGTTTTAAACCTGTCGTTAAATCCTCATCTTAATTATCTTATATTTGTATTTAAGTAATTCATATCTATTTTGCTCATAATTATCATTTGAATGCAGGAACAACAACGAAACAGGGAGTCTCAAAAGTGTTGTCTTTTAGTTAAATATTATCACCAGAAACACAATTTTCTGCAGTATCGCCCAAACAAACTTCAATGCGTCGTAGTTTTATTTAAAAAAACAAAAAGATTTAAAGACGTCTCGTTTCTTTAATCATCAAATGTTAGCGCTGTTAGCTGTGGGAGGGCCACAAGCAGAGCCTTAATTTACATAAATTATTTGAAAAGAAAATGTGCCTGTAAGACACATCTTAGCGACCGCAAACGCCACATATGATAGCTATCCACATAACGTAATCAAGTGTATTATATTATCAAACTTACACGAGATAATTAAGTGCAAACCGCGAGTTCTTCCTAGCTCAAGGTGAAAGGAGAATACAATACAAACCGAGCTTCGGGAGAAAATTGTAGTCTGATGAACTCGCCGGTTAAAAAACAAACAAAAACAAAACCAAAACAAAAACATGATGTAGCGCTATTTTGTGTCCGCGCTTCACAGAAAGACCTAATCTATTCTCTTAGAGGAAACAAAATGACAATTATTATCATTTATTTGTGCTTTCAATTTTATTATAAACTATTAAGTTAATTGTTCCAAGGCATCTTCGAGGGCAGCTTTTTTTTGGTGCGTTTATTTTATACACCGCATTAGCGTCCAGCAGCAAAATTGAAGAGAAATAGTGAATTACCTAAGAAAAGAAGGCTTGTGTTTTTCATTTTATTTCAAGTTTGCGCACATGATGACGCTCGAGCAGCTATAAACTCGCACTTTGCCCCAGTTTGGTGGTTTCATTTATTATAAGCCCCGCAGGAGCAGCAGCTGAAGTGCACACATCTAACGCGCACTCTTTGTGACCATGTACACACACATAATCAAAGGACCCAATGTAGCCACACGAGACCGAATAAAGATCATTTTCTTTGTTTATGTGTGTGTATGTTTAGTCGTTAGCCGGGTGGACACATTTTAATGGATGCTTTATGTAGTGTAAATTTCCGACTTTAGACTGCAGACATTTTTATTGTGGTGAGTACAATTAACTACTACCGCTAAAAACTGTTGCAAGGAAATGATAGATAAGTTAGCAGAGCAAGCTAGCTGTGCTGCTGAGTATCGAAATGTACTATTGAGAATAAAAATAACAATCTTAATGGACCTGACACAAATTATGTTATTATTGATACGTGTTATGTGTCATTAAAATGAGTGCATTAATTCACTTCCCGCTATGTGTCATTACACTGACAGCAGTCTAGACTGCAGAGATGAAGGCCAAAAAGAAGAAGAGGCAGGATGACTTCCAGAAAGTGAAGCTAAAAGTGGGAAAGAAGAAGCCCAGAGCTGATAACGCCACCAACACCAACTTTCGGTCCAAGGGGATTTATCTGTCTGAGCAGCTAAAGAGAGACACGAGTGGACCCACAACACACAAACAGCTCGGTATTAATGTAAGATCTGAGATCTTTTCAGATTTTAGCAAGTTAAAAAAAAAAGCATGCTATAGGCTTGTTTCATTGAATATAACAAGTTCGTCTTCTTCCGTAGTGAGAGTAGAGAGCAAGTAGAAATATGTTGCGGACGGAAGAGGAATGAAAGTCAGTAGAAGCAAGACAGAATAAATGTGTGTGAATGAGAGTGAGGCAGGTGGAAAGGCGAAGATGCCAGGATTAGAGGTTGTGAAGGTGGATGAGTTTAAATACCTGGTGTCAGACATGCAAAGCAACAGACAGTGTACATGAGATGTGAAGAAAAGAGTGCATGCAGTGGACAGAGATGGGTGATTTTTGACTGAAGGAAAGCTGCAAGAGTGCTGTGATCTATGGTTTGGAGACATTTACTGTGAGGAGGCATATGATCCACTGTGGTGACCCTTAAAGGGAGCAGCCAAACGAAGAAGAACAACAGAAACAAATTTATCTCATTTTATTCCCTCCTTCCACAGGACCTCCTGTCTCAGCTGCACCATTACAACGCGAATGTGAAACACAGTGCCTTGTTAGGTTTGAAAGAGTTGCTGTCCATCAGTCCCTCTTTGTTAGAGCAGCATCTTTCACGCTTGCTTTCAGAAGTGGCAGCTGTTTTAACAGACAAGGATCACAATGTTCGTGTGGCAGCTGCACGTGTGCTCAGGTTAGACAAGCATGTCAAAAATACAACAAACACATTTTTTTTTTCTTTGTTTAAATGTGTCTAAAGTAAACAAACTTGTTTTAACTTGCTTACAGGTATATTGCACAGTGTGTGCCTACAGAACGCGTGGCACCGTTTTTCCCCCTCCTCAGTGCTCATTTGTCTTGTGCTATGACGCATATCGAGACAGGAATCCAGGAGGATGCCATAAATGTCCTCGACGTGTTCCTAGAGCACTACCCTGCTCTGCTAGCCGCACGGCCTGCAGTTCTCCTCACTAACTTCCTAGAGATGATCTCTCACAGACAGAACAGTGGAGGAGCCAAAAAAGCTTCAGACTCCAAGGCTTGGACCTGGGCGCTGTCCATCAACCCTAACAGGGCTGTGACGAGCCAGCAGTGGCGGCTTTCTGTTCTTCTCAGGTATGGAAGCTGCATGTAAACACAATCAGGAAAAATCTAAGTGAATAACTCTGAATCCCAATCTTCCTGTTTGTTGTACTTGTATCTCAGGCTTGGGCGCTTTCTCCAGGCAGTTGTTGAGGAAAGACCAACGGAGGAAAGTGATATGTCTGTCCCAACTGAAAGAGTTTTTGGTTCTAGTGGAGAGGGCCGATTTACACCTCTTCATCTCAACTGGGAAGAGCTAACGTACAGCAAGGTTGGAGTTAAGATTTATGAACATTCTGGGGCCAAACCAACTCCACACTCCACCTTTAAACTTAGGTATGAAATCTCTGACTTTAGTAGCTGTCCAGAAATAGTTCAGTTTAAGCTTTTTTTTTTTTTTTTTCTCATTTGTTTTTTTTTT